TCTTCCTTCCTTCCTTCCTTCCTTCCTTCCTTCCTTCCTTCCTTCCTTCCTTCCTTCCTTCCCTCCTTCTTTGTTTTCTGTTTGTCTTGCCCAACTAAGATATAACCTCCACTAGAGGACCCTGTCTTTTGTCTCATGGGATTTCAAACCTGTAATAGTGTGTGGCACCTGACAAGTATTTCATAAACATATTTTTATTTGTTGAGTAAATAAGCGAGCAAAAGGAGACGCTACTCAGGCTGAAGGGAGAGGTGAGGAGATACCAAGAGTTGGGTATCTTTCCTGGGTATTTATTATGTTTGCGGGAGCCTAGGACAGTCCTTGTACTCGGTGGGAACAGCTTTGTGGGGTTTCCTCTGAGGCAGACAGCCCCAGGCAGGTCCGCTCTCCAGCTCCCTCCCCACTGATTCAATCCTCCATCTGGTCCAATCCAGCCCAACCTCCCCACAGCCCGGGCGCGGTTGGACTGGATGGAATCAGGTGGTCCCCGGCGGGTCCTGTCAGGAACCTCTTCTGGGAATGGTTACAGAGTCCACGTCCTGAGCTTCCAGCTGCCCTCCTTGTCTTCCTTCCTGCCTGCCCCCCACGTGGCTGGGGCCAGGCGAGACCTGCGCAGGTGGTTTCAGGGGACACCTGCGCCTCGGAGCTACTTGCTTAAGTCCTGACGACCCTGGTCTCAGGGTCCGGGACTGTGTGGACCCTCCAGCCTCTTCCCAGCAGAGCCGTCCTGCTGGGGGAGGCACCGAGGCAGACGCCCAGTGGGAGCCCACTTGTCTGTTGGAAACTCTGCCCCAGCCTGTCCCAGATGAGACACCTCGTCTTTGACGGCACCCCAATGTCTCATGCCACACCCCAGGATGCAGCTTTTCTATAACCTGGCAATTTGATCCATTCATTGATTCATCAGTTTTCAGAGCCAGACTTTGTGGAGCCTATTCATGCCAGGCCCAGGGCTGCGTCTAGAATGGTGCTCAGAACCCATATTGCCTGTGCTCCCGGGGAGGGGACCTTCTCCTGGGAGAGATGGGCAGTGCGCCTGTGAGAGCCGGGCGGGAGGGTGGAGGAGCACAGGGGCTGGGCAGTGGGGCTGCTGTCCAGCGGCAGGGTCATCCCAGAGTGTGTGCCCGAGCCCTGGAGCTCCGTCCGGCCCTTGTTCTGTATCATCAGGTCTCCCGTCCGCTCGCATCAATGACAGGGAACAGCCAGCATGCACTTCGCACGTGTGCGCCCGCATCCGCTGCTCCCAGCTCTCCACGGCGAGGGGCATCTTCGTACCCTTGACAGGCCTTTATGAATAGCTGGTTGTTGAGCAGTTCTGCTTGACTAACAATGTTTCTAACAGCTCAGCCATGTTTCTGCTTTTAGCGATCTGGACTCTCCCACTCGTGCACTCGGTCTGCCGTGAGCAGGAAGGAGTGAGGCGGCCCAGAACTTTCTGAAATGTGATTACAGCCCGGGCACGTGCGGGGCGCGGACTTAAAGCGGCACAGCCTGCAATTATCCACGCCCTGCGCCGTGCGGACCCCCTCCTGTGGGTCAGCAGGGAAAGCAGCATCGTCCTCCGACCTTTTAGTAAAATCCCACCCAGGCGCTTGCAGTTGATTTTACTTCAAAACAAGCTTTCCCTGTGAACAGAGGGAGCGGCTGAGACACCGCCTGCCACTCACAAGCATCGATGTCGCGTGGAAAGCGCCAGGCGGTGTCCGACCTGCCGACCAGCTAACGCGCAAACTCCCCGGGAGGCTTTCTGCGCGGAGGGAGTGGTTTGAACGTTCCCTCCTTCAGACCCACCGAGGTCACGTTCGAGGGGAACCCCGTGGTCGGTGTGAGCTGCTGTTGGTCTGACCTTCTCTGGTGGTTCCTCCCCTGCGTGGTCAGGGAGGCTGCGGGGAGGGTTGCGGGGGGAGGAATGAAATCCTCCCAGAAGCTCTAGAGCAGCAAAGAAAGGCAGTGACACTTAATCCTTGTTTAAAAAAAGCAAAATATTTCACGTGCTTCAGTGTCTGTCAGCTCCTCGGCCTTTAAGTTTTCCTGTTGTGTGTGACGCAGTAATAACACTCAGTCTATATCCTCGCAAACTCCTCATGGACGTCCCACGCACATGCTCCCCCTTAACGCCGACCTTGACCTGGAGGTGACCCTGAGAGAGGTTTTCCCAGGACCACCTTCCTCGGTGCCAGCCCCAAGCAGGCTGTGGGGTCTGTGCTGGGGGCACGGGGCTCTGGCTTCTGTCAGTGAAGCCCCAGGTGCCAGTGGGTGTACAGGTCACCCCTAAACCCACCTGAGCAGTGGCAGGAGAATTGCTCCACGCGCGGCTCATTCCACGTGGGAAGGTTTTGGGCCGTCTTGTCACCTAACCACCACGTACAGACACTGTTTTGAGGGGACATGGCGCCCGAAAGTGACCCCAGAAATCCTGGGCAGGTGGAGTCGGTGCCTCTCCGCGGACGCAGACTTCAGGGCAGCGGGCGCAGTTTTCCTCTTCTTTGTTTCCAACCAGCACTCTGTAGGCTGGTGCTCACCCGGTCCCCGTCCCCGCCCCTTCAGCGGCAGCGGACAACACAGAATCTCTCCTGCATCCCTCCCAACCTCGGGCCTGGCCCCTCTCCTGCCCGGAGGGCCCATCCCGCCTGCCCCCCAGCCACCTGCTGCTCCAGCCTTGCCTCCCCTGAGAAGCCCGACTTGCGCTGGGGACACTGGGGACCCCTCGGTGCTCCGCTGCCCTGCGGACATGCCCCGTGGAAGCATGAGCCGGGGCGTAAGTCGCAGACCTCAGTGGACGCTGAGCTCCTTGAAGGCACACAGCCCTGTGCGGGTCCTCGTTGACTGCAAGCCCGCGTTTCAGAGTCTCCCAGCTTCCCTTCCCAGCAGGATGCACACATATCCCTCTGCCCCTCACAAAAGCCATCGGCTGAGAGAGAGAGAGAGAGAGAGAGAGAGAGAACGAGAGAGAGAACGAACAGCGGGGAAAAGCAAAATGAGAACCCGAAGGACCAGCCCCCGAGGCCAAGCCCACAGGACGAGTAGCAGATCGTTCTTTACACGTTGGAGAGTGAACTCGGTCAAGGCTGGAAGTGAAGGCAGGTGCACCCCTGCGGGGAGCGGGGGGAGGGAGCTCCCCCAGAGGCGGGCGCTGTGGCCGGCCGCTCTGCACACTGGCCCGCGGTGTGTGTGGCACAGATGTTGCCTATCTTAGACACGTATAAAACGTGGCGAGTCTCCTCTCCAGAGGGGCCCTGTGGGGAGTGGTGGGTGACATCCTTGGTGACTGGGGGGCTTTTTCGGTTGCTTTAACTTGGTGTTGACGGCGCACGTGGCTGAGTTTGGTCGGGAGCCGGGCTGTGGCTGGAGCGCTGAAGAGGCTGCGGTGTGGGGAGGCTCCGACACCCGGTGCCCCCCATGCGGAGACTCTGTGAGGACGGCCGTTTCCTCAGTCCCAGCGGCGAGGAGAGAAGAACGCTCACCGGCTAATGCAAGCCGCACGCAGAGCCTGGAATCAAAGTGGCCCGTGGTCTGTCTTCAGCCCCTCGGCTTGGCGGCTGCGGTGTGGGCCCCTGGGCTCGGCCACGAGCAGGTCCTGGGCAGCACAGACCAGGAAGAACCGAAAGGGCCGACGGGGTGGAGGCGACGGGCTCCAAGTCATAGTTTGGAGTCATGTTTACACCCTAAAGGCGACGATGGTACGATTCAGTGTCACGGAGTTTTTGTAAATTACAGTGGATTTTCTTATCTTCCTCTCCTAAACACCCATCATCGCTAACCTTATGCATTTTATGCACTTACACGGCCTCCCTGCCACCTCCGCGTGAACGGGCGAGGGAGTGTTTATATGGCGAAGCCTCTCTGGCCACAGCGCGGTCCATCCGGCCCTTTAAGACTTTGGTTGTGATGGCCTCGACCGGGAGATTAATGTGAGCGCGTTGTGAGCAACAGAAGCGAGATATTTTTAGTTCACTTTGGCAAATATTTTTGTATGTTGACTCTGTTACCAAGCACTGCTCTACGCAGAGGAATTAGAAGGTATTAAGACTCAGTTTCCCCCTTTAGCTTGGAAAACAGACACATAAATCAGTAACCGCCCCGCAATACGACAAACTCCATCCCTCAGGCAGCGGGAGCGCCCCGCGGCAGGGCCGGGCATGGGCTCCGCCAGCACACACGCTGGTCTCGGGGTCCCTGCTCAAGATTTGCTGGGTGCCTTTTTGAGTTCAGACTCATGATGAAACAATGGACAACTTAGCAGGTCAGTTTGGAAACGGCCTGAACACGGTTGGAGCCGAGCCCAGAACCCCGACCACACGACTCACCCACGCGCGGGCATGGAAGGGGCAGGATGCGCTGAGGGCTGCCCTGCGGCCACGGAGGCTGCTCGGTGGGGGCTCACTGTGCAGGGGACACTGCGACGGCCCTTGGGGAACATGGCGGGGCTGGGAAGCCAGCCAGGTAAACAGTCCCCGTGGCAGACAGGCGCCCGGCCGGGCGGTCGTGTACGTCGGCAGCTGCAATGGCTGAAGAACACGTCTGCACTGACTCATCTTACAGAGGAAGGAACTGAGCTCAGGCCGCGAAACGTGATTATCTTTTCAAAAGTTACGTGTCTAATTAATGGCAGGGCCCGGCGGAGGACCCTCAGCGCCGGGAGGCAGCGCGCCCGAGGCAGACAGCGCGGCCTCCTCCGTCCCCATGGCCGGCCTTGGAGTGAGCTATTTAAAGTCTCATTCGGTTTCTTCACCTGGAAACGGGAGTCATGCTACAGTGTCCGCCACGTGCAGCGTGAGGGACACATATACAAACAAGATCAGGGTGAGAGAGCGCATGAGCAGGGCAGGGTGAGCTCGAACGTCAGCCATGAGCCCTGGTCCCAGGGTCTGCACAGTGTCCCTCCCGCCACAGCAGTCGGGGGGGGGGGGGCAGGGGGCTTTGTTCACTGTGTTTCCGACACAGAAAGCAGCGCCCTTGTCAGGTCCGGGGCCGTTCTCAGCCTCTGTCTCTCCCCTCAGGGCCAAGGAGATTAAGATCAAGTTGGGGACTCTCCTGCAGAAGCCAGACCCGGCTGCCGACCTGGTCATTCCCTACAACGAGAAGCCGGAGAAGCCAGCCAAGACCCAGAAGTGAGTCGTGGGTGTGGGTCCCTGTGCACCCCGCAGGGCGGCTGCGTGCTCCCCGTCCTCACCCAGGCCCCTCACTCGCTGGCGCCGGGCCGCAGAGCTGCCTGGGGATGCGCCTCTCTGGGCGCCTGAGCCAGGAGTGAGTGTGCGGGTGGCAGGAGGGTGATACACAAAGGACCCTGCTGGGAGCCAGGCCCAGCCCTATATACAGCAGGCGCCGCCCCTCGCCACCCGCTCTCCGGCCTCCAGGGGCAGGTGACCCTCTGGGACCCAGTTAGTGCTGGGCCCCGGCGCCCACCTGGTGCTGCCCTCCCAGGGACACACCGGGGCTCCCCCTGAGGAAGAGGCTGCGACCAGGCAGACACCTGAAGCCTCTTAGTTTCTTCTCTGAGACAGTGCCAGGCCCAGCGGAGGGGCAGACAGTGCCAGGCCCAGTGGAGGGGCAGACAGTGCCAGGCCCAGTGGAGGGGCAGACAGTGCCAGGCCCAGTGGAGGGGCAGACAGTGCCAGGCCCAGTGGAGGGGCAGACAGTGCCAGGCCCAGTGGAGGGGCAGACAGTGCCAGGCCCAGTGGAGGGGCAGACAGTGCCAGGCCCAGTGGAGGGGCAGACAGTGCCAGGCCCAGTGGAGGGGCAGACAGTGCCAGGCCCAGTGGAGGGGCACAGACTGCTCCTTGCTGGAGGCATGTGCACTTGTCCAGCTCTTTCCATGTACTGCACAGCAAGCAGTCTCTCCCCGCCCGAACCCAGTATCCCCGCCTGGGCTTCTGCCAGCAGCCCCCCACCCCCACCTCACACACACACACACACACACACACACACACACACACACACGGTGTAGGTCTAAAGACGCAGGCATCTTGGCAGGGACACCCACTCCCCGGCACTGGCTCAATAGCTCAGCAGGACAGCATTCACGCGCTGGCCTCACAGCCGCGGCCTGTCCTGCTGGGACACCCAGCACCTGCCCTCTGAGCGCCCTGAGGGGGGCGTGTAGGAGGTCAGCCCGGAGGAGGCAGGCCAGATGGACTCGAAGCCCATCATTCCTCTGCCTGGACACCGGAGGCACCGCAGCCGCGTGTAAAAATACAGGACTCCCTTTTAGCCGCCCTTTCTTTTTAACGTCATCAACTGTATCCATTGGCCCAGCTTTTCTTTGTTCAAATGACCTTGGACTGAACAAGCTGGCCTGGTGGGGGCCGACAGGTCCTTCTTTTTCATCCTTCTCCCTCCCCTGCGTGGCCTTTCCCTCCTCCTGTTCTCGTCACTTCCCAGCTCCCAGCCACGGAGGGGCAGTTTCCCGCGTTTAGGAAGGGGCGCTAGTCCCGTGAGCGGGCACCTCGTTCCACAGCAGCAACTGGTCAGAGTCCGGTTTGTTTGTTGTTGTTAATCCTCCCCCGAGGATATTTTTCCATTGATTTTTAGAGAGAGCGGAAGAGAGAGGAAGAGACAGAGAGGAACATCGATGCCAGAGAGACACATCGACTGGTTGCCTCCTGCACGTGCCTGACCAGGGCCTGGGCCAAGGAGAAGCCTGCGACTGAGGCACCTGCCCTCGATCGGAATCGAACCCGGACCCTTTGGTCCTCAGGCTGACGCTCTATCCACTGAGGAACACTGGCTGCGGCCAGAGAGTCTGTTTTGAAGCGAGCGAGGTGGTGCTCACTGGCCTCTGGAATTCGTTTTACAATAAGCCCCGGACCACAGTCCCGCCTCCATGCTCTGCTCTAACGTCCGCAGCCACTGAACCATTCGGTGCCCAGGGCCCGGGCAGAGCAGCTTTGGGAGAAAGCCTGAGCCGCTGCTGGACTGTTCCCCTGTCTTCCTCCCCTTCTTCCTGCAGAAGTTGGAACTGCTTCGGGAAATCCGTCCTGTCCCCGGAGACCGTTCCCATGAGCTCCCGGCCCGGCCCACCCGCCGCCCCCTAGGGGGCGCATTCCCAGCTAACGGACAGGACTGCTCCGTGTCCTCCCGGGACCTCCGCCCCCACTTTAACATTCCTCTGTATTGTGTTTCACTCATGTTCTTCTCCCAGAGAAGAAATAAACCTCAGAGGGTAACATAAACCTGAAGGTATTTTTAACCCCCTCATCTACTAAAAAAAGCAACCTTTTTAAACAAGCATTTTCTATTTTTTGGACATATCTTTATTCTTCTCATTAGGAAAAAGAATATTGAATCATGGAAAAAAATAGAAAAAAGCTGCCTTTATCCCGACCCCCAAGCCAGCTCCCCTGCCGGGTTCAGACTGGCTAATCGCTTTGTCCCCCGGACCCTCCCACTGGGACAGGTGCCCGTCCACTCTGAACAATGCCCTCCCGCCCCTCTGCCCTCCGCCCTCGGCACCGGCCCCCCGGCCCCCGCCCTCTGCCCTCTGCCCTCGGCGCCGGCCCTTTCTCTCTTCTGTTGGGCACCTCTGGGCCTGGAAGGTCACTGTTCTAGCCTCCCCTCTGACTCCTCCTCGTCAGGTTTAAAGTCGCCCACTGCACCCCCCGCCCCCCAGCATTTGACTCTGCCCACTGTGGGCCGCCTGAGCACCAGCACCCTCACTGGCCCCTGGACCCCGTGTCTCTTCTCCCGAGGCCCCACTCCCACCCGCTGTCTCCCGGAGCATCCCTCAGTGTCGGCCACGGGTCCTCACCGTGAACAGCCCGCAGATGAACAGCCGCATAAATGCCGTGTCTCTCCTCGTGGCTTATAGCACCCACCTTATGTGACTGTTCCTGCCGCTCAGGTTATACTCTCCAGGTTCCTTCTCTCCCTGCCGGTCACTCATTTTAATTCCGTTTCTCTGGTTGTTGTTTTCCCGCTTAGTAACTCCAGACTGAGCCCACGCACAGAGGGCGCCCGGCCTGTGGACAGGTCTGGAGTGTGTCCGTCCGCACACTGTGCCGGCCAGATTGACGTCAACAGTGGCCGGCGCTTTCACCTGCGCCCCGTCCTCGGTGCCGGTCGCTGCCGGCCCTGGGGGGCTCGGTCACTGCGCAGCCCGCTCTGCGGGGCCATGTGAGAGCAGTGAGCACTGACAAGTGCCAGGGAGTGAGCCGAGGCCCTTTCTTTGTCGAGGGTGGGAGCCTGTGGGGACATTGCCAGACGAGTTTAGGCAGGTGAGAGGCTGTGGATGTGGAACACCCAGAGGAGCCCTGGTGCTCAGAGAGGGGGAAGGCCTTGCGGGGCGCCCCTCCTCAGTGCAGAGCTGCAGGATAGTTCTCGGCTAAAACTCTTCCTGTCGAAGTTCTGGGTTATTGTGGCTTTCTTCGCCCAGACTCCCTGTGGGCAAACGGAACCCTTGTTCATTTATGTCCTAAAGGCCGGGGGCAGGCTAGTGCTGCAGGCCCCCGGGGGTGGAAGGGCTCTCAGCGTGTGCAGCGCGCACCTGCCCGCAGCGCGC